CCCTGTACACGTGGGCTAGCCTTCGGGCCACGCTCAGGCCCCATTTCTCCTATTGTTTTCGGAACACATGTATTCAACCTCACGCCTTCTACTACCCCATTTGGAGCCTCGGGTCACTACAACAACATCCGGAGAAATTCTACTAGGTAGAAATAGGCATTAATTTGGACTTAATGGATGTAGTTTGTATATTGGGTCTTGGCTTGGTCTGGAGGTCAACTCACGAGCACAGGGTAAGCATCTGCCATGTATCAGGTGGTCACGCAAGGGAAGCATAACAAAAGCAATCCGAGTATCCAATGTGAGGTATGGCTAGTGGATTCAACGTTGGCTTGATATTGGTGATACACCAAAAAATTTTTGCGCTGATATGTGTATTACTTTGTTTATGTGACTACCTGATGTTTGGCGTTTACTTTAGAATTTGTCCGGCCCTTGTACACGTGGGCTGACCTTCGGGCCACTCTCAGGCCCGTCTTCAGAATAAATGTATTCAACCCAGCTTATAACTTCTCCTACCCTATATACTAGTAATTTCAGTTTTCCGTTTCAAAAATTACTCGTTGCCTTAGGCTAGGTTTTGTGGACCCAGCATTGCGGTAACAATTGAAATTATAATGTGAACAGATCCTTTTACACACGATAAACCTATCAGATAACGACTTAGCAGTTAAAGGGTTTTAAATAGAAAAGAATAAGTCACGAAAGCCCATAATCTAAAACTTACACGCTCCCAACTTCCATATTACACCTGATAACGCGTTCATGACTGTCCAGGAATAAATAACGCATTTTTAACATCGAGTCATCCTATCCTGTGGAACAGCTAAGGTATATTACACGGTTGTTTGTTTATATTAAGTATTTGTGGTAGAAATGACTAATCTATGCAATATAGGTATCCTCAACACAATTCAGCCGAAAATTTGTTCTACAGCACATGATGCTGCGCGGCTTCCTTAGTTCGATCTGCGGTGTATTGTGGGGGTGGGATGTCAAGCGTGGTGCTTATTTGTCTGATTTTTAACTAGCAATAAGACTTTACACTTGCAAAGTTCTTAGACTAGGAATCATGTCATGTATATTATCGATCTCGGAAGGATCATAACCATCTGGTTTTTATTGATGTCGGAAATGGCAACTGATTCGGTTTAATACGTCGCTATTAATTCTGCCGCATTATTCTTGCACAATGCTTCCTCTGACGTGCTGCAATGCTTTGGGCTGGAAGAGTTGCTGGTTTATAAATGTCTTTTTCCTAGAAATGCTGTCCAGGGGAGATGGGTGTATCTTTGAAAGAACTGATGGTGTTCCGCCAGAATTTGGCATCGTAGGTGATGTTGATGACGTCAACAACCTCGTGCATATCTCCACTGCCGACAAAAGTTGTTGCGTGAAAAAGAGTCGTGTAACAAAACTCGAGAGTGCCAGCAATGATATCATCTCTCAATGTCTGGATGTAAGACGAAGTTATTGATTTATAAGTGACTATCCTATTCGTTTAGTCTTTGAACAAAAATTTCATAACAATGCAGCTAGAAACTTCAAAAATGCTAAAGGACGAAGCCGACGATGTGAGCTCTCATTAGTTTAGCGTTACTGGTTACTTGAATTGTCGAAGATGGGTCCCTAAATTTACTATATTTCAGCTCGCTTTCTATCAAGATCCTCGTATTTCTGGACGGCCTCGTGGGGAGAATGAGGATCTGTACGTTACTGCTCTGTTGTCAGGTGTTGATGTTGCTCTTTTCTGACGACCGTCTGATAAGTCCTCGGCTTGCTCTTTGCAGATGTGAAAGTATGAATAAGTTAAGCACATCTGACGGGTCTCAGGGGGTGGTCGAGGTAAGCCCCTCTCTTCCTCTTCCGCTTGGAAGCTACTGTGTCTCATTTGGCTCAAATCGTTTATTCTTAGTAGTCGCATTCATAATGCCGTTGCTGAACATGATGGTTGTGTTTGAGCTGCTTTGCTTAATTAAAGATTGTCTGTTTCGTTTGATGCAAACGAGATGTTTACGTGCATTTGTGTGTTTTTTAAATTGGGTGTCTGAAGAAACGGCAGGAGGGATCTCGGCGTAAGTGGCAGGTTGGCGATTTGTGTCTTTGTCAATGGTGTGAAGACGGGAAGTGGTACTTCGCCAAAATCATCGACATCAACGATGGGACAGGGTGCTGTGACGTAGAATTTCTGTATTACGGCAATGAGCAGCACTTCATTTCTTTAGACCAAATACATCGAGTTGAGGCCTCATCCTGGAAGTTGGTGGAGGATGAAGACAACACTCTCGCTGCTCAGGATCTGCTCAGCACCGCAGGAATGAAGTCGGATGAAGAGTAAGTTTTTCGTTCTTATTTTACAAAACTACAGTAGAGTGCATGTTCTACAAATCTAGAGGAGATAAGGAAAGTAAAATGTGCTGAGCACTTGGATTAATTGAATGGAGATTCTTGTTGCGTTGCAGAGAGCTACGCGGCTGGAGAGACCTATCATCGGTGATATTTGCGCTTGTTGTTGGGGTGGAAACGCATTCATTTACTTCCGAAAGCTCGTCGCTTTGGGGGATTCTGAACTCATATGTATAGAGCCTAGTTCGTTCATCACAAAATGGATGAATACTATGTGCCATTTGAGAGTACTCATGCGAATTATTCGTCTGAGGTAGACATGAGTACACTCGGTCGAAGAGCGATACCGATGCAGCAAGAAATTTTAAAACAGGTAGACGTTTTTTTTGATGCTCGTATAGAAGGGATGGGCATGATCGATGTTAGGTGTAAGCTTGCGTCCTCGTCGTTAGTAGGGTGAATAATTTTTCCGGCTCAGCGACTTAGTTCGCTAAAGGGGTGTGGCACTTTTTGATGTGTATTATCTCAAGGTTTAATTTCAAATCTAATATGTATTTACATTATAGAAATCTCCCCACGGTGCTTGAGCCAAGCACGCAGTCGGAAAAGTCAGATGTGAAAGACACACTGGTCCAAGACAAGAGGAGTTCGAGGAGAAGCGAATTGAAGAGTAGCAATGGACCGGTCTTGTCGCATTTTTGGCGCAGTTTTCTCCTCGAAACTTACGGAAACGACGAAAGTGCGGTTCGAAATCTTCTCTACTCGTGGTACATATGTGGCTACCAAACTGGCTACACAATGGTGTGTATCCTCCAAATTTCCCTTTCGTAAATATTTGTTTCTTTACGAACAGTACTTAGCTTAAGGGTTCAAAATACATTATTTTCGTATGCAGACCTATAATCGAAGTGGAAAATGGAAAGTACACAGCTCCGGCACTCGGCAGTGCTCCTCCTCATCGACGTCTTGACCTAATTGTGGAATGCCAGATTTCACATGTTCGCCTATTTTTTTACACTTTGTTTTAGCTGTGATGGAATAGAAAATGTGCATCAAGTTCTGCCTTCGTGTCTTTTGGTTACTGCAGCTTGCAGCTCGCGGTAATAATAATGTGTTTAGCGAACATTAGACTGATACTGCATTGGGGCATGAGGAGGGGATTACGTAAACACTGACCCCTGTCGTCACAGGATTAATTCTATTACACCTTTAACTTTTGGATAACGGAATCCAGGGCACTTTGAGTAGCGATGAGGTCAAATTGCCGCAAATTTGACTTCGCGACCGCGCTGACTGCCTCTTTATGCCTGGTTGGCCATTGACGTGGTTGGAAGGCATTGGGGCAAGTGCTGACGCGT